GCCCAGGAGTTCAAGGTTGCGGCAAGCCATGGTCATGCCACTGCATTCCAGCCTGGGTGATGGAGTAAGACCCTGTCTCAAAAATAAAAGGAAAAAAAAAGAAAAATAGAACAGGCATCTACATGTTTGCTTAAGTTAATAGATTACTAATCAACATGTTTATGGCCATTAGGTTTATAATGGGAAATAAACACTACATTAAACCTAGTCTACTTAGCTTTATTCTCAGGAGTAATCAGACTTTTAAAAAAATGTTGGTAAGTTACAATAAAGCAAGAAGTATACATTATAAGATATATGAGGGGAAAAAGAAACTCCCAACAAGGAAACTTACACAGATCCACTCAGAGCCTTCTGCCTTTCAGATGGGCCTAGGCCTGAAGCATAATCTGTACCAGTGTTAATACAGCTGACAGAGCCCAAACATTTATGCAGCTCAAATGAACATGTTCCCAAGAGCATCAGTCATGAGCCTAGGTCAAAGCCTCTAGGGAGCCATGTGTAATTAGCTTTGAAAAATATTTTGCAGAAACTTTCTCAGTTGTTTTAATATTGATCTGTTGTACTGGCCCGAACATAGAAAGTCAACACGAAGACAAAAGTATGCCAAATTGCAGGGTCTTTATTGCCAGCGGCCATGGAGGACTCGCGTCTCTCCAACCTGTGGCCCCGAAAGGAGGGTGTCAAGACCTTTTATACCTGTAAAACCACCTCAGGAGTGAGGGTGAGGGGCAGGGGTGGGGTTGAGGGGCTTCAGACGTTCTGAGGGCTAGTGGATTCTGTAAATCACCTCCTGGGCGGAGATGAGGTTGAGCAGCTCCAGACATTCCAGTGGATTCCTGGGCAAAGATGAAGGTGAGGGGCTCCGGACATTCCAAGGGCCACGGGACTTTGGACATTCTGATTGTTACTTGAGTGGTTCACAAAAGTCAAGATTAGCATTTGTTTACACATTGTCTGGGTAGGGTGGAAATTACAGTCCTTAATTACTTATTACAAGTCACAGGGGCCAAGATGGCATGGGTTTGGACTGCTTGCCTGTCACATTTGGGTTACAGAGAGCAGTTTCAATAGAGAGCCGAGGTATGGTTGAGGTATGTAGTTTTATGGGGCTTTTACCATGTCACAATCTATTGTGAAGACAGCTGGAATCTAAGTTGATACTTGATATTTGGGCTGTAATTCTAGATTAACCTAGAGGTTTCCAACCATTACCAATGCTGTAAAAACTGAAATTTTAGAATTTTAATAAACCTGACAATTATTTTCTAATAATATTTCTAGTTGTTTTATAGCTTATAATTCCATTAGTTAAACGTGGTATTGATTGCTGTACAGTACAATATTATAGAGAGGCAGTATGGTGCAATAGTTAAGAGTATGAGCTTTAGAATCAGACTGCCTGGGTGTGAATCCTAGCTTTGTCACTTCCTAGCAGAGTGATCTTTGAATGAGTTACTTAAGCTTTCTATGCTTATGTTTTCTCATATATAAAATGGGAGCAGTAATAGTCATCTGTCTTTTCCAGAGAAACAAAACCAGGGAGAGATGATAGATAGATAGATAGCATTTATTTCCAAGAATTAGCCTATGTGATATGGGGAACTGGGAAGTAGGAAATCTGTAGAGCAGGCTGGAAATTTTGGGGCAGGACCTGATTCTTCAATCTTGAGGCAGAATTTATTGATTCGTTCTCAAAGAAACCTCAGATTTTTGCTTGTGAGACCTTTCAGTTGATTGTATGAGACCCCCCACATAATTGAGGGTAATCTGCATTAGATGAAGTCAACTGATTGTAAATATTAACCACATCTACAAAACAACTAGATTAGTGTTTGGTTGAATAGCTGGGTACCATAGCCTAGTCAAATTAACACATAAAATTAACCATCACACCTATCAAATTCATAAAACTGTGACAATTAAATTAGTTCATGCATATGAAGCACTTATAATAGAGTCTAACACACAGGAAACCCCCATAAAGGCTAAGTAAAAGAGCTTTGCTTTGTAAGATCAGCTGCCATTTATTAAATACCTAAAATATGGAAAGTTCTGTGTCTAACATGGGAGATTCAGTGATAGTCACTGTAGAAAAATAATGTATCTGCACAGTATTAAACCATGGAGTTCATTTAGGCCAGCCTCTCACCTTAAAAATGGAGAAGCTGAGGTCCAGTGTTTATTTAGATACACAACCAGAGTGGTTTTGTGGTGGTGGTTGTTTTTTTATAGTGACGAACAATACACAGAGAAATCCCTGACCTCATGAACCTTATATCCTAGTAAGATACCCATTGTTGACTATTTCAGTCTCAAATCTAACCCAATATTCTTACTCATTTTTCATGCAGAAAGGAAAGGAGAAACTGGCCGCAGAGACTGTGCTGTGAGCCAAGTGTGCCTAAAGCATTGAACAGATAAAGCAGAAATGTTTCTATGTATCATAGTGTTTGTTTGCTTGTTTTTGAGACAAAGTCTTGCTCTGGCACCTAATCTGGAGCACAGTGTAGTGATCATGGCTCACTGCAGCCTCAACCTCCTGGGCTCAAGTGATCTCCCACCTCAGCCTCATGAGTAGCTAGTAATACAGGTATGTGCTACCATGGCCAGCTTTTTTTTTTTTTTTTTTTAAGAGACAGAGTTTTGCTATGTTGCCCAGGCTGGTCTTGAACTCCTGGCCTCAAGTGATTCTCCTGCCTTAGCCTCCTACAGTGCTGAGATTACAGGCATGAGCCACCTTTAGACTAAGGGGCTTAGTGCCTAAGCTTTTGCACTTTTTTTTTTTTAACCTTACTGTGAAGTCAGATCATAAATATTTCTGATTTTTTGTAGAGATGGGGTTTTGCTATGTTGTAAGGCTGGTCTTGAACTCCTAGCCTCAAGCAGTCCTCCCACCTTGGCCTCCAAAAATGCTGGGATTATAGCACCTGAGCCACATCGCCCAGCTTTTGCAAAATTACTATTTTGAAATTTTAATGTAGCCCTTCTGTGAGGGTCTTTTTTTTAAAAAATATATACTTTAAGTTCTGGAATACATGTGTAGAACGTGCAGGTTTCTTACATAGGTATACACGTGTTACAGTTTGCTGTATCCATCCCTCTCACCACCCCCATCATCTATATCAGGTATTTCTCCTAATGTTATCCCTTCGTATGTCCATGTTTTCTCATTGTTCAACACCCACTTATGAGTGAGAGCATGGTTATAAACCATTCTGTGAGAGTCTTTTTATCAGGACTCAAGTCATTTCTCCGCAAGGTGCTAACTACTTCCAAATGGCCTGAGGGAAATTAAGAATGTACTTTCTTAGCACCTAGTTTTCAACCACTGTGAAACTTGGCCATTGGAGTTGTCTTTTATCCCCTTTACATGGAGAGCCATTAACAATAATTGCATGAAAACATTAATAATACATCTGAAGAACATTTTATAGTTTTACAAAGCACTTTTTTTAGAGATAGGCAGAACATTTTATAGTTTTACAAAGTACTTTTGAGAGATAGCCTCAGAAGATATCTGAGGCTCAGAATTGTAAAGCGGGTGGCCCAAGACTCCATAGTAAATATCAGGTTCTAGCTGCCTAATTTCTAGTGTAATGTGCTCTTTGTTATATTACTCTGCTTGCAATGTCTGGTATTGGTCTGGAGAGGAGCTGCTTCCCAACCCTACAGTTCTCTTCTTTAGTTCCTTTATTTTTTTTTTTTTCCTTAAAGAAACAGGATCTCACTCTGTCTCCCAGGCTGGAGTGCAGTGGCACCATAGTAGTTATCTAGCCACCTCAAACTCCTGGTCCCAAGCATTCCTCCCACCTCAGCCCTAAAGTAGCTGGGACTACAGATGAGTGCCACCACACTCTGTCTGCTTATTTATTTATGTGCTTATCCTTTTTTTTTTTTTAAACCTTATTGTGAGGTCAGATCATAAATATTTCTGATTTTTTGTAGAGATGGGGTTTTGCTATGTTGTAAGGCTGGTCTTGAACTCCTAGCCTCAAGCAGTCCTCCCACCTTCGCCTCCAAAAGTGCTGGGATTATAGCGCCCGAGCCACATCGCCCAGCCTCCTTAGTCCTTTTTTTTGAGACAAAGTATTGCTCTGTCACCCAGACTAGAATGCAGTGGCATGATCTCAGCTCACTGCAACCTCCACCTCCCAGATTCAAGCAATTCTCCTGCCTCATCCTCCCAAGTAGCTGAGATTACAGGCACCCACCACTGCGCCTAGCTGATTTTTGTATTTTCAGTAGAGACAGGATTTTACCATCTTGGCCAGGCTGGTCTTGAACTCCCAACCTCGTGATCCACCTGCCTCAGCCTCCCAAAGTGCTGAGATTACAGGCATGAGCCACCACGCCTGGCCAAAGCATCCTTAGTTCTTAAGTGAAGGCAGTCTTTATCTATAATTAATCATATTTGAATGTTAGTTTTTAACTTTGCTTTAAACAAATGACAGTAAATATTTTTAAACGTGCTGTTTGTTTTGCTGAGAAAAAATCTCTCTGGGGTTTAACCAAACCTGGAGGCTATGAAGTTAGTGAATTTATTTTTATCTTTTTCTTGTTCTAGAAATTAAGCTTAATGTTTTTAGGAATGTGTATCTTCCTTTGGATTAGACCTAAATGTGTGTGCCCTTATGTGATAATTTTAGGTTTTATGCATATGCTTATAAATTTGGCTCTTATTTTAATTAACCATAATTGTCTGAAACTTGAATTTTGGAAAGTTTTCTCTGCATTTATTAATTCTGCCAGGTAGCTGAACAATGGTAGCTCTGAAACTTACATATGTACCTTTTATTACTTGACAAATATTTCTCCAACAGATACAAGATTATATACAATTGCTTTCCTGTTCACAGTGTATAGTCCAGTTAAAACATGTATAGGAGATACTCAATTCATAACTTAGGAATTGATGAATTCAAATGCAAGATGAAAATCTAAGTTTTTTTACTACAGAATCTCTAAACACAGTTTTTTTTATTTGTTTGTTTCCTTAGGCTTTCATCTGAGTGGCACAGTAACTGAGCTGGCCACTGCTTCTGAACCAGCAGTGACTTACAAAGTTGCAATCAGTTTTGATAGATGCAAAATCACCTCAGTGACATGTGGCTGTGGGAACAAGGATATATTCTACTGTGCCCATGTGGTAGCACTCTCACTCTACAGGATCCGTAAACCAGACCAAGTCAAATTGCGTCTTCCTATCTCTGAAACCCTTTTCCAGATGAATAGGGACCAGCTACAAAAGTTTATTCAATATTTAATCACGGCACACCACACTGAAGTTCTTCCTACTGCACAGAAACTGGCAGATGAGATTCTATCTTCCAACTCAGAAATCAACCAAGTGAACGGTAATTGTACAACATTTTTATTGAAAAAAAGATCTTTTTCATCACCACTGTCACCAAAGCAACCCTCTTACCTCTACTTTTTTTGCTTTATTGCATGTTAAGAGGTTGGGATATTTCTGCAGTTGCAATCACTTAACTTTAATTTCACTCTCTCCAAACAACTGTGCTTAACTCTAGGTTTCTGAAAGCAGTCCAACTGTCTATCTCAAAAAGATTTTGGTAAAAAAGAACAGAGAATTATAGTATTATATATTGGCCTAGTTTATGGACTTTGTTGATGCAGTCCCTGTCCCCAGGAACCTGAAATGTTCAAACAGTGAAAGAAAGCACAAAATAATTTGTATCGTTCAGTGAATTGAGATGGATATGAGAATTTCCTTGATATTTTAGGATCCAACATTAGCATCAGAGTTATCCTAAGGAGAATGTGTTAGTGTTGTGCTTATGAACTATATATTGGGGTGCATGAATGGAAAAAGAGATTATGTTCACTCATCATTCAACAAAATTTATTAAGTACCATGTGCAGGGAAGAGTGTTGATTGTTGAGGGTCTAAAACAGACATGGTTCTTAAAGTAGCTTATAATCTAGTAGCAACAACAGACAGGTCTGAACTAAATTCTTTTTTCTTTGTTTTTTGTTTTTGTTCATTTGGGTTTTTTTTGAGATGAAGTTTTGCTCTTGTTGCCCAGGCTGAAGTGCATGGCAAGATCTTGGCTCACTGCAACCTCTGCCTCCCAGGTTCAAGCTATTTTCCTGCCTCAGCCTCCCAAGTAGCTGGGATTATAGGCATACACCACCACGCCTAGCTAATTTTTTGCATTATTAGTAGAGACAAGATCTCTCCATGTTGGTCATGCTGGTCTCGAACTCCCAAACTCAGGTGATCCATTCATCTCAGCCTTCCATAGTGCTGGGATTATAGGTGTGAGCCACTGCACCCAACCAAATGCTTGTTTTTATAATAAAACCTAATCATAGAAGCCTAATCATAGAAAACCACTGAAAATTTTTAAGAAGAGCCTGGGCGTGGTTTCTCATGCCTGTAATCCCAGCACTCTGGGAGGTCAAGGTGGATGAATCACCTGAGGTCAGGAGTTCAAGACCAGCCTGACCAACATGGTGAAACCCTGTCTCTACTAAAAACACAAAGATCAGGCTGAGCATGGTGGCTCACGCCTGTAATCCCAGCACTTTGGGAGGCTGAGGCGGGCATATCACAAGGTCAAAAGATCGAGACCATTGTGGGCACCATGGTGAAACCCCGTATCTACTAAAAATACAAAAAGTAGCTGGGCATTTTCGGAGTGGGGGGGGCCTGTAGTCCCAGCTACTCAGGAGGCTGAGGCAGGAGAATCACTTGAACCTGGGAGGCAGAGATTGCAGTGAGCCAAGATCGATCGAGCACCATTGCACTCCAGCCTGGCAACAAAGCAAGACTCTGTCTCAAAAAAAAAAAAAAAAAGATCAACCAGGCATGGTGCTGCACATCTGCACATCTGTAATCCCAGCTGCTTTGGAGGCTGAGGCAGAAAAGTCACTGAACCTGGGAGGTGGAGGCTGCAGAGCTGAGATCATGCCATTGCACTGCAGCCTGGGTGACAGAGTGATACTCCATCTCCAAAAAAAAAAAAAAAAAAATTTAAGAGGAGTTACATAAACCAGTTTTCATTTTCTTTTTTAGATCCTACTATATTCAAGGCATCATGCAAAGGACTTTATATGTGTTAATTCATTTAGGTTTCAAAACTACTTTGTGGGGTATAATAATTTCTGCTTTACAAAATAAGGAAATTATTTATAACCTAGGTTCATTTGACTTAAGATTTCTTTTAATTTCTCTAAAGCTTTTTGAGTTTCCCTAAACTACCTTTCTCTTTTGGACAATAACTGATATGGTTTGGATTTGTGTCTCTGCTCAAATCTCATGTCCAGTTGTAATCCCCCATGTTGGAGGAGGGGCTTTGTGGGAGGTGATTGCATCATGGGGGCAGATTTCCCCCTCTCTGTTCTCCTGATAATGAGTGAGTTTTCAAATACTTGATTATTTAAAAGTGTGTAGCACCTCCCTTTTATCTCTCTTCCTCCTACACACCAGCCACGTAAGATGTGCCTGCTTCTCCTTTGCCTTCCATCATGATTGTAAATTTCCTGAGGCCTCCCAAGCCATGTTTCCTGTACAGCCTGCAGAATCATGAGCCAATTAAACCTCTTTTTTTTTTAAGGCAGAGTCTCACTTTGTCGCCATGCTAGAGTGCAGTGGTGCAATCTTGGCTCCCTGCAACCTCCACCTCCCAGGTTGAAGTGATTCTCCTGTCTCAGCCTCCCAAGTAGCTGGGACTACAGGTGCATACCACCACACCCACCTAATTTTTGTATTTTTAGTAGAGACGGGGTTTCACCATGTTGGCCAGAATGGTCTCAATCTCTTGACCTTGTGATCTGCCCGCCTTGGCCTCCCAAAGTGCTGAGATTATAGGCGTGAGCACCACACCCGGCCCAATTAAACCTCTTTTTAAAAAATAAATTACCCAGTCTCAGTTATTTTTTTAATAGTAGTGCAAGAGGCCGGGTGCAGTGACTTAAGCCTGTAATCCCAGCACTTTGGGAGGCCGAGGCAGGTGGATCATGAGGTCAAGAGATCGAGACCATCCTGGTCAACATGGTGAAACCCCGTCTCTACTAAAAATAAAAAAAGTAGCTGGGCGTGGTGGCGCGTGCCTGTAATCCCAGCTACTCAGGAGGCTGAGGCAGGAGAATTGCCTGAACCCAGGAGGCGGAGGTTGGCGGTGAGCCGAGATCGCGCCATTGCACTCCAGCCTGGGTAACAAGAGCGAAACTCCATCTCAAAAAAAAAAAAAAAAAAAAAAAAAGTAGTGCAAGAGAGGACAAGAATACAGAAAATTGGTACTGGGAAGTCAGGCATTGCTATAAGGATACCTGAAAATGTGGAAGCAGCTTTGGAACTGGGTAACTGGCAGAGGTTAGAAGAGTGTGGAGGGCTTAGAAGAAGACAGGAGGATGAGGAAAAGTTTGGAACTTCCTAGAAACTTGTTAAATTGTTGTGACCAAAATGCTGATAGTGATATTGACAATGAAGTCCAGGCTGAGATGGTCTCAGATGAAGATGGGGTACTTATTGGGAACTGGAGCAAAGACGTTGGAGGCATTGTTCCCTTGCCCTAGGAATCTGTGGAACTTTGAACTTGAGAGAGATGATTTGGGGTATCTGGCAGAAGAAATTTCTATGCAGCAGTGTTGAAGATGTAGCCTGACTGCTTCTAGCAACCTCAGCTCATATTCGTGAACAAAAAAAAAATAACATAGAACTTTCAAAATTTACATTTAAAAAGGAAACAGCATAAATGTTTGGAAAATTTGCATCCTGGCCCGGCCATATGGTAGAAAAGAATTCCCCCTTTCAGGAGACGATTTCAAGCTGCCTACAGAAATTTGCATAAGTAAAGCCAACACAGTAAGGAAAATGTCTCAAAAGCATTTCAGAGACCTTCATGGCAGTCCCTCTCATCACAGGCCCAGAGACATAGGAGGGAAGAATGGTTTCATAGGCCAGGCCCACAGGGCTCTGCTACCCTGCTCCTTAGGACACCATTCCCTGCATCCCAGCCACTCCAGCTCCAGCTGTGGCTAAAAGGACTAAAAGGGATACATCTCAGGCCACTGCTACAGAGGGTACAAGTCATAAACCTTGTCAGCTTCCACATGGTATTAAGCACAGAGATCAAAAGTTGAGGCTTGGGAGCCTCTGCTTAGATTTCAGAGAACATAGGGAAACCTTGGATATCCAGGCGGAAGTCTGCTGCAGGGGCAGAGCCTTCATGGAGAGCCTCTACTAGGGCAGTGCAGAGGGAAAATGTGGGTTGGAGTCCTCACACAGATTCCCCACTGGAGCACTGCCTAGTGGAACTGTGAGAATGGGGCTACTGTCCTCAAGATCCCAGGATGGTATATGTACCAACACCTTGTACTGTGCACCTGGAAAAGCCACAGATACTCAACACCAGCCCTTGAAAACAGCCATGGGAGCTGAGCCCTGCAGAGCTACAGGAGTGAAGCTGCTCAAGGCCTTAGGTGCCCACCCCTTTCACCCCTGTGACCTGGATGTGAAACATGGAGTCACAGGGGATTATTTTGGAGCTTTAAGTTTAATGACAGCCCTGCCAGGTTTTGGACTTGGCTGGGGCCTGCAGCCCCTCTATTTTGGCTAATTTCTCCCTTTTGGAATGGTGGGTATATTTACCCAGTGCCTATACTTCCATTGTATCTTGGAAGTAACTAACTTGTTTTTTATTTTATAGGCTCATAGGTGGAAGGGACTTGCCTTGTCTCAGATGAGACTTTGGACTGTGGACTTTTGAGTTAGTGCTGAAATGAGTTAAGACTTGGGGAACTGTTGAAAGGGGATGATTGTATTTTGCTATATGAGAAGAATGTGAGATTTAGAAGGGGCCAGGGGCAGAATGATATGGTTTGGATTTGTGTCCCCACCCAAATCTCATATTGGATTTGTAATCCCCACTGTTGGAGGAGGGGCATGACGGGAGTTGATTGGATCATGGGTGTGGATTTACCCCTTACTGTTCTCGTGAAAGTGAGTGAGTTCTCATGAGATCTGGTTATTTAAAAGTGTATAGTCCAGGCACGGATGCTCACACTTGTAATCCAACCATTTTGGGAAGCCAGGGCAAGTGGATTGCTTGAACCGAGGAGTTTGAGACCAGTCTGGGAAACATGGTAAAACTCTGTCTCTGCAAAAAATACAAAACTTAGCTGGGCATTGTGGTATACACTTGTAGTCTCAGCTACTCAGGAGGCTGAGGTGGGAGGATGGCTTGAGCCCAGGAGGCAGGGGTTGTAGTGAATCAAAATTGTGATAGAGCTTGGTGATAGAGCCAGACTTTGTCTCAAAATAATAAATAAATACAAATAAAAGTGTATAGCACCTCCCACTTGTCTCTCCTCCTCCTGCACCAGCCAT